TCGTTGAGTGCCGCGCGGAAATAACTCACGTATGAGGGTATCGTCACGTCTCTGGCGTAGTAACGCGCCGGAACGGAAACGCAGATACGTGCATGCGAGCGAGCGAGCGACCCAAGTACCGAACGGACGCGGTAATCGGCCGCGAAACTTATGCGCGACAAAGAAAGGAAAAGAGAGAGAGAGAGCCGATGCCGATGTCCGACGCTCGCGCATTAGATGCATTACGAAAGGTGCATCCTCCTCCTCGGTGCAGGAGGAGGAGGATGACGGAGGACGTCTATTGCGTCGATCCTCCGCGACGTAAATGCATGTAGCCTTCGTCGCTGGCTCGCGAGAGTCGTCTCGCCGTCTTCTCGCCCTTCGTCAGGCGTGACGCCCCGATGTAATGCCTGATGATGGCGAAATGCCGGGGAGGAAGTAAAAATAACCGGCACGAGATGGAAATTGGATAAATTGAAGTGCGACTCGAGGTCCCTTTTATCGTCAATCGAAAATATACGCGGCGGTCTGTATCAATTTGCGTTTATAGCAAGGAAAACGGAAAGTTTAGAATGTAAACTGTCGAGATTATCATAAACGCCTCTCAATTGCGTCGATAAAGCAAGCCATTAATTTTACACGTTGAAAGCACGGCGGATACTTTGTATTCTCATCACTCTCCCTCCCTCTCTCTCCTCGTCAGGAGGCCAAACATTTATCGCAATTCACGAACGAGGGATTCTATTTAGCCCTCCGGTTAGCCCGGAAAGTCGTTATCGGCATTCACGCATCCGAGAGCTTTTCGTGCCGCCGTTATCGGTCTTCCCGATCAGAGGCCCATCTAGCTGTGCCCTGGTTGCGCCGTCACCGAGGAAAGAGAAACGACACGGTGACCCCTGCGACTCGTGGCATCTCGTCAGGTCCCCGTGAGGTGACTAAGCCGAAATGGGCGTCTTTTCGTGCGCCCCCCCCGAAGACGGTTGGCTTTCTAACAATAGGACCGGGCACATCGCTTCTCGTTACGAAACTTGACGCCTTTGTACCTCCACGTGATGCACGCACGAGGTGTGCGTCTGTGTGCAGCCTCACGTGAGCCACGCTGCATGACAATGGAGCCTGGTCTCGCTGTGGTAACATCTCGTACGGTTCGCACAGTGGCATCGTTTGACGCACACGCGCGCGCGCGCGCACGCACGCATCTTCTCGTCCGAGAGGCGAGGATCACGCTTTGAATTATGCGCTCTCAGTCAGGATTTTCTCGGAGCGTTACGAATTTACGAAGAAAGACGGGGAAACGTGAGTTGGGCAGGAAAATCACGCGACTCTTTATAAAGCGCTGACTTTTGGGAGATAAACATATCGGTATGAAAGAAATTTCTTCTAATTTTCCCTTATTTCTCACCAACTCGGGTAAACATTGTACTTTTATCACAAGATAGCGAAATCAGAAATGGCGCTGTAAAAATTGCAGTTTTGCAGTTTTCTTGGAAATAACGTGCATCTTGCAGTTTCTTCTCGATAGTTTTCTCCATCGATTCTAAATAAATATGTAGAGGAAAGTTTCCTATTACGAGATAAACTTCTAATATGAGATAGCAGGCTTTCAACATTGAAATTCAATCGCAAATCTTTTTTCGTAACGTTCGCACGACCCGACAATAAATTTTCCACTAAACACATTTCACTCCAATGGCAATGAATTCATGGTAGAACCATTCGAAATGATGTCTATTAATTTAGCAGAAACCCTGCTGTCTCATATTAGGTGCTTGCCTCGTAATAGCGCAGGTTCACAAGTCGATGATCAAATTGACGTCGATTACGATTTTTCGGACGGAGTTTGATTTGACGACGACTAGATTCTTCACTTATCTTCGCTTCTTGCGAAGATCGACAGAAATTCGCATAATTGTCGATGTACATTTAACATCTACAGACCGTCGACGCTTTCGTCGCTTATGATCTGTAAAAAATGTATTATTTGGACAATAGATACTTGAAATAGTACGAAGTATTTCTTTCTTGTCAGTAATTTTGCAACTGTACATTTTAAAATTGCTCTACCTCGGAAACAGTGGGGAATGGGACATATATTCATATGAACATTTTTGCTTGAAATGACCGATACTATCACCTCCCAGAATATTGGCCTTTCCTCCTGGGACAACCTGTATAGTAGATATCGCTTTCAAGTCGAGTCGATAAATGGAGGCGTTGATTCGATTGCAATATGATATTAATTGAGACATGACCAGATCGTGGACGTCTATAAAATGGATGCGATGAAATCTTCTAAATATCAACTTGATTATTGATTCTCACGTGATCTCAACTTGATTTCAACATGATGTTCACCGGACTCTTCATCGACTTGTGAACCCGGGAGGGGACTTTCCACTATGGCAACGAAAGCGATTCCCGAATGATTGACGCCAACCCGTCCTGCGCCACTAAAAGAGTATCAGAAACGCGCCATTTGTCGCGCGAAAGGAACGTTTTATTTATATGTGCACGGGGCCACCGGAAGGAATAATTAGCGAGGCAAAAATAGTTTCGCAATTATACCGCGCCTCGCACCTTGCCTCGTCAAAGACCAGACGTTTGTCACCGCGGTTGTCCTCGTTGACGACGTCGCTGTCGCCGTCGGACGTCACCGGCCGATTTTATTTCCGTCGCCTCGAACGGAAGGGTTTCGAAAGCTCGCCCTCGCTCGTCCCGCCTGCAGCCTTAGGGTAGTATTACATTTGTCGGACGACCAATGTTTTAATAACGCGTTGATTGGCTACAAGCTAGAAAAGTTCTAGATACTCGGGAACTTTTTATCCCGCGGCTAATCAACACGCTTAAAAAATTTGTCGTACGACAAATGTAATACTAGCCTTAGGGTGCGTTTCCAATGAACGCGTCACGCGTCGCGTAAGTCCCAGTCTACAATAGAGATATAAACCCTAAGCCTTAAGAAATTGACTAATCACAATCGCGTATTCTACTCGTACTTGACCGTGATTGGTCAATTTCTTAAAGCTTAGGGCTTAAATCCTCTATTGTAGACTGGGACTAATGTCCGATAATCCAATGAGCGTACAGCGTACAACCAAAAGTCGATTAATTTTCCACAAAAGCTGTTCGCCCATTGGACTACCACGCGCGACGCGCGCAGTGGAAACGCACCCTTAGGCCGACACGAAGCGCGCGAAATGCACTCCGAAATCTCAAAAGTCTATTTTCTGCCTGCGGCGCCCACGCTTTATGTCCCGGCCGATATCCCGCGCGTGCAATGCCGCGTATTTTTATCCGTGGCCCACATCCGCGAGGAGAAGCGCCGTGCCACCTTATTATTCGGTCACTCGCGTAATCGAACGAGGAAAAAGAACGGAGGGACGCGCGAGAAGACGAGGCCCCCGCTCGTTTCCTCTTCCATCCATCGGCGGAGACCCGTAAACCCATTTCGAGCGTTACCCGCTCAGACGACGCGCCGCGCCGCGCGAGATCGTTCTAGTAAATTATTTTTTTACGGCGTGCATCGTAACCCCGTCCCCTGGAAACCGTGCTACCTATATAAAACAGGATTTATCGCGGTGATAAAAGCGAGCGATCCGGCGCGGCTTCCCAAAATGAATTAGGGAAACACGCGCTTTGGGGTCGTGTCTTGGGTTCGTTCTCGGGACGGATCGCCGGGTGGGACGGTGGTGAAAGTCAGTAATGGCCGGCCGTAAATTTCGGAAGGCACAATGAAATTTAATTTAGGAGACATAATTAGGACGTAAACTGTTTTGACGTTACGGAGATTTAGGGTGTTTCTTCTTGTAACACTTGTTTAACTGATGGCCCCGAGTAGAAAACCGACTGTTACATTAGAAACTATTACGTGTCTATCGCGGGATCATTTCATTTTCATATCTTTCGACAATGGAATTCTCTATCCGATTTCGTTAAACAATACAATTCTCCTTTCACCTTGGCCAATACGGACAATTTACACGCGATAATGAAGACTTCCGCCGGGAAGTCACGCCGTCTGTCGGTCCTTCGGTAACCATTTAATTCTTATTGCGCCAGCTGATGACCTCGCGGTTATCGAGCCGGCAATTTCTTTTTCTCTCCTCGCCATCGGGGGCGGCAGAAACGCTTGACTTGCGACCTTAAGACCCCGTCGCCGATCACGGGCGGTAAAAGTGCGACGCGGAACACACTTTCTACAATTAATTATAGAGCACGGGCGCGATCCGCCTGTTCGCCATTGGCAGCGGTCGCTTAATTTCGTCGCTACGAATTGATTACGAAACACCGTCGTGCGTTAAACGCCCGACGAGTGCCATTTGTCCCCAGGCGTTACGTTTCTCCAGCGCGTAGACACTCGCGTCGGATAACGTGAGTCACATGTGAGTTCTTACGGGCCGCTTTGTTAGTCCGCTGTAATCCCGCGGAAGAAACGCCCAGGCCCTTTGCGGATTACACGCGCCGGCCGGCTAGTTTATCACTTACTTTGTGCTTGTCCGAATCGCACCTTGCACGCGACAGGATTATCCTCCGTGCGAAATAAATGGGCTCGAGGCCCCGCTCGCGAAAGCCGTCACCGTACGAATGGAATTCTCGTTCGAATCAAGTTCCCGGATCCAGATCCAGCTGGATCCGGATCGTGATTCAGACCGGTGAATCACATTTTGCCACATCGCGTTTTTCTGCTCTCGCAGATTTAGGTCAATCGGAATTAACTATGACACTCCTGTTAAAAATATAATAATTGTTGTTACGATTGCCATCCCGCACAGCAATGCGAGTCCAGTGCTGGGCAAAATTAATGAACTAAACTTTTTAGCAATTAACACTTACTCTCTAACAATTTTTGTAACAAAACCGATCTTATTAGTTTAACTGTTTTCATATCTTTCTCATTTCCTTTTTCTTGGGTTCATTGCGTTATTATGGACGTCGACGAATGTATATTATAATTAATATATTGGTTGTTATACCGTAAAATTAATTAGATTAAAAATGTTGCGTCGTCGTTTGTGCTACAGAGCGGCGGTGGCGACGAATCCGACGAGGACACGCAGTGCGCCTTGAGCGAGAAATGGACCTTCGAGAAGAAGACGAGACGCTGGTCTCGCATAGGCGACGTTACGGCGGCGAACGTCGAGAGGCTGCAGGCGATCGCCGGGCAAAATGCCGCGTCCGAGGACGACTCCCTCGAGGATCGTCTGGAGGCCGAAGAAGCGGAGGACACCATGCTGGAGAATCTGCGGTACGGCAGCCTGCCGCCGGGGGCCGTGCCCGATGAGAACGGCACGCGATTCCGCCGGTCCGGCTCGGAGAGGCTGCGGGACGGCGCGAAGGCCTTCCTGAGGCGCGTCGAGTCCCTCAAGTCGCGGCGGCGGAAGCGGCAGAATCGCGACGGGGTGGTGATCAGCGGGCCGCAGGTGCTCGACGTGATGTCCATGCAGCAGAAGATGAAGGAGCTCAACTGCGTGGACGTGTCGCCCACGGGGCCGGCGCCGGTGCCCTTCAACGACCTCCTGTCGGCTTCGCCTCTACAAATTCCGGGCTCGCCGGTCACACTGCCGGCCTCTCCCTATCATCTGCCGCCGTCGCCGCTGGCGAACGCACCCAGCCCCTTCGGCGACGACTCCTCCAGCTACTGCTCGGACGGCTCGCAGGGCGGCGGACCGACACCGACGCCGACCCGCACGAAGATGAACCGCGCCCGTCGGTTCTTACACCGCGGCAGGGAGGATCAGGGCGCGCTCAGCGACTCCGAGTGCCAGCCGACGAACTGGCGGCACCGTTACTTCCGCGACGCTAACAGCAACCATGCGAAGGTGCTGGAGTTCGTCAACGTACGCTCCCAAAGTTCCAAGGAGCGTTCGCAGAGTTCCACGCCGGCGAAGAATGCACCGATCAACACCCGCGGCGGCAGTCTGAACCTCGGCAAGGAATCGCAGAGGTATCGCGACAAGCTCGCGCAGGGCAAGGAAGAGAAGCCGGCGTCCTCGAAGCGGGAGGACAAGATGCGCAAGAGCTTCCGGCGCCGCGACGACTCGCGTAGGGAAGACAAGTCTAAGGAAGTGACAGTCTACCGGGAAAAATCCAGGTCCAGGAGCTCTGAATTAGCCGGCAGTCAGGAGAGCGGCTCCACCGTGGCCAGCAGGGATTCCGAACCGGAAGAGGAGTCGCCCAGACACAAGGGCACCGTCGTTAGGTGGCACAGCTTCCAGAGAGGGTCGCTCTACCCCGAACACTTGGACCAATTGTGCCCCAGAGCGATGGCTTCCATGTCGTGCGGACAACTCTTGGTCCTGAGGAAGCTGGCATTGTTGAAACTCACGGCGTGCATGGAACGGTATTGTCCGACCCACCGCACCGGCTGGAACTGGGAGCTGCCGAAGTTCATCAGGAAAATCAAGACGCCTGATTACAAAGACAAGACGGTCTTCGGAGTGCCGCTCTTGCTGTCCTTACAGAGAACCGGTCAAGCTTTACCCAAGTGTATCCAGATCGCTCTGAGATGGCTGCGAGCCAACGCGCTGGATCAGGTGGGCATCTTTAGAAAGAGCGGCGTCAAGTCGAGGATACAGAAGCTGAAAATTATGACGGAGACTCAGGGAGACAATATCAATTTTGACGGGCAGCAGGCGTTCGACGTCGCCGATCTTGTCAAACAGTATTTCAGAGAGTTGCCGGAGGCTCTGCTGACAAACAAGCTCTCGGAGACCTTTATCGCCATCTTCCAACGTAAGTTCGCGCGAGTCTTGCTGGCTTATCTTCCAGCTTGTAGATCGTGCGAGATGAGAAACGTGATTTTGCCACGGCTCGCTTTTCCTTTGCAGATGTACCGGTGGAGTTGCGGCCCGATGCCGTGCAGTGCGTCCTGTTGCTGCTGCCGGATGAGCATCGCGAGGCGCTAGAGACTCTGCTCGACTTCCTCAACCATGTCGCCAGCAACTCGCCCTACAACCAAATGACAGCCTCGAATCTGGCTGTGTGTCTAGCGCCGAGCTTGTTCCATTTCAACCACAGCAACACGAACGTGACCAACAGGTCGAGCAGCGTGTCGCCACGTAGGCGAAAGACCGTGGGCATTCCCGATCAGCGGGAACTGTCGGAAAACAAAGCCGCTCACGACTGTCTTCTGTATCTGGTCAAGATGCATCGTGAATTATTCATGGTGAGTGCCGAACCGTCGTCACTCGTCGATCGCGCGATCGCTCGCGCGTTTCGTTCGATTCCCAAAGCGCGAACGAATGGGAAGGGCACGGCTCATGCGTCTTCCGGCTCTTTCAGATCTCATCGGACATGCTGACGCAGTGTCACTTTAATTACATGGAACAGAGCATTCCGGTCGCGCTGGAGGAGCTCGGCTCGGAACTCAAGCAGGATTGGAGGGGCTACCTGTACGCCTGCACCACGGCGTTGCTGAAGGAAGCGCGAGAAAAGTGAGTGCACGTCGTCATTCTGTTCTATTTATTCGCGAGAATGCACGGTGTGTTGCGAGTAAAGTATAAATATGAGCGCGCAAAAATTTTATGATCGAACATACGTGCTTTTGAGTCAACAGTTATAAGCGAAAGGAGGAATAAAAAGAATATCGAGTGCGCGCTAAATAGAGACTCTCGCAATCTGTTCTAGCAGAAGTCGCGGTTGGGTCACGGTGAACAATCCTGCCGACAATAGCGTGGAAATGGCGTACAAGAAGGTCGGCGACGGGCACCCGCTTCGTCTCTGGCGGGTGTCAACCGAAGTCGAGGCTCCGCCAAACGAGCTGTTACATCGCGTGCTAAGAGAGAGGCACATCTGGGATCCGCAGCTTTTAAAATACAGACTGGTGACCAAATTGGACACCAATGTGGAGGTCTTCCAATACGCCACCGGGAACATGAGTCCGCTGCCCGCCCGAGATTATTGCGTACTAAGGTGAGTTTTGACAAAATTGCGTCACATACATACAAATCATTCATTCGTCTCAGTTATGCGGGAACATATTCTAACATTATTATATCTTTGCAAGTGACAAGTATTCTTCCGAGAATTGAAATTGTTTGAGATGTTTACAGTTGCTAACGAGTGTAATTAACTTTCGCAGATCCTGGCGGAACGATCTTCCCAAAGGTGCTTGCGTCATTGTGGAAACATCCGTGGAACATCCAGACGCCCCTGTCATGCTCGGGGGAACTCGCGGCATCGTTTTGGCCTCACGTTATCTTATCGAACCATGTGGCAGCGGCAAATCCCGTATTATGCATTTATCCCGAGTCGATACAAAGTAAGTGATATCAAATTGTTTTTCACCTCTTGACGTTCGCTTAGAAATGTTCGATACAAATTTACTCGGAGTAAATTACTTATTTTCGTCCACTTTATTATTTGAAATAAATTTGGACTTAAGAAAAACTTGAAATTAGACGAAGATTCAAATGAGATAATTTGTTTCCAGGGGTCGCACACCTGAATGGTACAACAAGAGCTATGGACACATCGCTGCCCTTCATCTAAGCAAAATCCGCAATTCTTTCAAACATACCACCGATGGGCCCGAAAGTAAAGTTTGAGAACAGGATGCCGTGCAACAGGTATCGTTGCACGGTCCTCCCTTTCCTTCCTCGTCTTCCTCGTCTTCCTCCACCTCCACCTCCACCTCCACTTCCACCTCCACCCTTCAAGTACCCGAAGAGCAACAGTATGACCACAGGATCCTAATGGACGTACTACAGGTCCAGCCTACCATCGATGAAGAATAATCTCGATCGACCAGTGCGATCGATAACCAAAACCCACCGATGTCGTAGTTAGCGTCGTTCAGCAACTGTGTTTGGACTTGAGATAAGCAACCTATTTTATCAGATATAGTAGTACAAGTAGTAGAATCTCCCGTATGACGCGCTGTACAAAGATCTTGCCGTCCGTTTGTTGTGAAAGTTGAAAGGGACGGGATATAAGAAAACGAGAATGGACAAAACTTTAATAGTGAAAATGGGCTCGCGCGCGTCTAAATCGGCCATTTCGGGACGACCCGTTATTTTTGCAATTTCAATGTTGTTGTTGTTCGAGAATTTATAAATTTTATCAAATCCCGATCGCAGTTGACCGCCATTCCTGAAACCGCGTGTCGCTACGGTTTTTTCATCTGATCGCATCTTCAATGCTGAAGGATCGAAAGACTGTCGATAACGCTTCCGGTTGCGAGATAGATGAACGTCATTTGGTGTCTTCGACGACTATGTGTACGTGTTTATATATGAAAATAGCGATTCCATAGGTTTATCCCGTAGCAAGTTCATATTTTCGATAAAAGTAAAGCGGGGAGATACGTGAGAGCACGACCAAGGTAAGAGATGATATTAACTATATATTTTCTCACAACATCCTTAATCAATAAAACCTCCTGTTATAAGCGCTATTGTTTCGACTTTTACAAATTGTAATATAGATTACAATACAAGTGAAATTAGTTTAAATATTTTATTTTTTGACGCGACAGAATTTTATCATCGGACCTCATGTCAGGTATTTTTCTATAGCAGATAAAATTTTAAGATGAACAAATGAATCCGCGGGACCGAGTTTCGTCGTGATAAAATGTCGCTCTGTGCAGGATCATCCGTCTTACAGAACGCACCAATCAGTTACAGCGCGACAGCTGCAAGCGAAACCGCATCTAAGTTGACGGTATTCGTACGTGAGCGTTTGTAATGACGATGTATGATCGATGTGATGTTTCCGTCAGGCTTCTAAAAATGGGACGAAGCCTAGATAGGGTGCTGTCTGGAGATACAAATTTCCTATGCATTTCGTATATTTTTTTTTGGACCAAATACCAATTTTTCTATCACACAGTGTATCGCATTAAGGTAGTCGACGTGCGTCTCGGTTGAGGAATTTCCTTCCTCTCCCATAAATGTTGCCACACGTAGACGAGCGAATATGTAAATGTCGCGTACGCATGTACACGTGTGTCTATTTATAAATGTGCTCTTATAAGCACGTGTTTGTTACATGTAAAAGAGAGAACTACGTCGTTCAGTGTCGGAGTTACACGATGCACTGCTGCGCCGTTCAAGCTGCTGTGTGAAAAAATACGTCATACGAGGATACGGTTGAGCAAAAATAACTTGAGACTACGACTTTTACGAGAAAGTTATGCCGATTATTTCTATTTTCTTGCAAGATGAAAACGATGATAGTTTTGTATTCTTTGGCTTATGATCGGGAAGATTCGAAATTTCTCTATTTTTGTGAGACTAAAAATAATTCGCGTGTAGCGGTTTACGTAAACAAAGCAGCGCACTGTGCAGTTCTGCTCGTTATCGTAGATTTACCGCCGCGGTCACGATCGCCGCGGCGGTTCAAGCAATGCGAAAGGATTTTGAGTAAAACATAAGTTTCCAAATCTCGTTGTTCTGCGAGTGGCGGACGACTCCACTCGACATAAGCAATTGTCATTGTTACTCGTATCGATGTTAAGGGTTAAAATGAAAAATAAAAAGTATCCGTTTTCGCCGTGACTGTTCCGGAATCGTCGCGAGTCGACCAATTGCGCTCGCGAATTGGGGACACGCGCTTAGGATGTTTAATCGTTCGACATGTCCGCATGCAACAATTACCATAGGGACCATCTCGTGGACGCAACAAACAACCGAAACGTTAGCCGTGTAAAATAAAAGTGGCGAAAGGGAAGAGAACGCTAAATTGAACTTTCCATTGTGCGTCAATGCATCGCTCAATGGCGATGTAACGAGCAGCAGAATTCTATTTGATACGACGGACTTGACAGACGGATGAAAACCTATTCACATTTGTTGCGTCCACGGATCAACTTTGTTTGGACCCCAAACAGGAAATGACCTGCGTAAGATGCACCTCATCGAATTGAAACTCTAAGTGTATTTTAACGTAATACTAGTCACTTACAATATAGCCGAGAATTATGGATTACGACTATAGATTTTTATTGTGCAGCGTTGCGCCGAGAATATTTAAAATATTATTAATTGCTACTATATATATTATATATCGACGTTAAGTAATCATACAAATATATCATATTTTTGTGTCAAAGACGCCAGTAGAAGCGCGACGACCGAGATAGAGATGCGTCGTCGGCGTTTCTTCGTATTTGTAAACGATATATGAACGTCTTTATTCTTGTAATCCGTGTTCCACTAGAATGTAAATATGTATATTATACAATAATGAGCAACACAGAGTTATATATTCATTAATAGCCTCCTATTCTTAGCGATCCGTCTTCACCGGCGGAAAATTTTTTTATAAATAGCAACGAAAAATCGACTTGAAATAGAAATTTGTAGAAATTTTTATATCTTCGTTGAAACTATTTTTTAGTAAAAATATCTACGAAATAGCACCACAAATTACAATGTTCTCAAATCAAGAAATTATTGCAAGTAGTAGTTCATGAAAATTTACAACTTTGTAAAAATTAGTACGAAGCTTTACTAGTTTTAAAAATATGAGAAACAACAAAATCTTAAAAAATTAAAACATCTGCTTACTTGTAGAATATTACAAAAATTAACAAAAGTGTTCCAATTCTAGCATTTTCGTGTTGATTCTTAGAACACTTTTTAAATTTACGTAGAATTTCTTAGATTCTGGCAGTTATATTTTATTGTTTAGTAGAATTTTGTAGAATATTTCCAACTTTGTAAGGGGCATTGTACCCGTTTATCACCGACTAACGTTTAGGGCCAGTTTCACAAACGTCGGTTAACTGTTAATCAGAATTCAGGCAACTCCCTATCTGTTTCCATCTTATTATCTAAGGAGAGACAGAGAATCAATTGATCTTCGGTTAGCAGTTAACCGACGTTTGCGAAACTGGTCCTAAGGCCTGGTCTCACCAACGTCGCTTAACTTTAAGCTTAGCTTAATTCGTTATTAGTCTTTTTCCAACTGTTACTCTAGAAAGAGACAAATATAAATTAAACTACGATTAAAGGTAAGCGACGTTTGGTGAAACAGGACCTTCGCCGTCCTCATTTTTTCTCTCGGTCGTTTATCATACGAACATTTTATTCCAAAATCTCTCTCACATCGATAGCCAGCTGTATTCGCATTGTTTAATCGATAGCTCGGGTTACCAGGGACGATGCCTCCTGTCGTGCAAGTCGCTTTTGTTGGATGAATATATGTTGGATGTTTAGTTCCTAGTGGTTCCTCGTGACAACTAGCTGGTACAATTACCCAAATTTACTTTAACGTTTAAATCAGTACTCATTGTCTTCATTAAAATCATCGACTTAACGGAGATATTAATTTGCGACCTAGGACATAAATTTTATCGAGGAGAAAGTTCAATTTCGGCTGAAGGTACTGACTCGACGGAAATGGTGAGATTGCACGTGAAGAAAGGTGACGACAGTCAATTTTTATACGACACTCACGTGGAGGCGAATGTGGACGATGTCGTGTCTGACATCGCAGTGATCTACAACGGTCGTTTAAAGATTTCAAGAATTTGTTATGGTAAATTTATCAAGTATTCTTTACAAAAGCAGATACAAATATTATGCAGCGCAGTTAAGCATTAAAAAGATCCCGGATTATTTCGGCTATTTCGAAGAATCGTAACTTAATTATTTTAATGATACAGAAACTGAGAGAGAGAGAGAGAGAGAGAGAGAGAGAGAGAGAGAGAGAGAGAGAGAGAGAGAGACGCGAGGCCTTCTCGCATCTGCGAGTTGAGGCGGGTAGCAACGGGATCGT